ACAGAGTTTAGTTTAAAAATACTTACCACCATCACTTTAGATTTGATCCCTTGCCAAACAGTCAAAGCTTCATAAGGTCCAGCAGATGAGGCTGTTTGCCAAACTCGAAGCATGTTGTCTCCTACTCCTATTCCTACAGTACCAGGATCCAGGGGGGAGATGCCCAGCGAGTAAGCAAAGCCACCAAGGGTAGGGAGGGTTTGTAAACTTCGTAGCTGTTGAGGATCCCAGATAACAATCTGAGGTATGGAGAGAAGTGAAAGATTAGTGTGGCCATGTGATAATTGTTGCTGTTTTTTACTTTTTCGCTTAGATGATGAACGAACTGGGCTGTGATGATGACTTTCAATCTCTGCCAGTTTTAAAGAGGAACAGAACTGTGTTTGACTACTGTGAATAATATGGTAGTCTTAAGACTACCATCATGTCCTCTGAATCAGTGGTTTCTACTGTCTAGGTTTGATTATCAATTTGCTGTACATAGTGCAAGACAATTTTCCTGTCTACCAACCATTTCTACTGAAGGATTTCTTTTTACATGATGGCAACTTTTTCTCCCATGCGAATTCACGCTAGTATCCTAACGTTAATCTGTTTTCGTTTACATAATAGCACCACAAAATAATGGACTGTGCCGAGAAACCAAAGCGTAATTTTCGTCAATCCATGAAGAGAGCGTCACGTTGGACGGGAGACGAGGAGAAGACAGACGCATTTGTACACGCGATTTGGAACTCGCGCCCATTCTAGTTTTACCGATTAAACACCCCCTGGTAAGGAAGAATTAGGTAGATACACCCTAGACAGAAAAACAGGCGTCATTTCTTTTTTTGCGTTTTCTAGGTGACCGGCGATAGGCACGAGGTGGGCGCACAGGCGATTCGCGAAGGGCAAGGGGCTCTGTTATATTTCCTCCCTCTTCCTTACGCGTATGACTCGTGCTTTGCCTTTGCCTCGTAGTAATAACACTACATTAGTAATAACAATAATATCAACAATAATAATGATGATGAGAATATAATAATGATGATGACAATACACCTGTTTTACGAGCTATGTACACCCTTTACCACGTGAAGTCTAAAAACTTACATTTATGGTAAAAGACAATTAGAGACAGCAATGTATTGCACCAGTGATATAAAATGAGTACTGTACCTGTCTGTCCATGGAGGCAGTCAGCACTCTTATACCAGAAATGTCACAGCTGATATTAAACACAATTCTTGAGTGGCCCACGCCAAATGTTTGGCATTGAGCTCTTCCTTCATTCTTGCTGAGATCCCACAACAAAATTTCGCCACTATGCACCAGATTATGTAAAAACAAATTAAGGCATAGATAACAATTTTGTTTAACTTAACAATGCTGTGTCCCTGGGATTTGAACCCATGACCCCTGCCATATCGCTGTAGTGCTCCACTACCAACTGAGCTGAGAAAACAAGATAACTGAAGTGGTGAACAGTCATTTGTTTGAAATCTGTTTACTACAAGATCTTAGGCCAGGCAAACAAATAGGATCTAAGTTTCAGAAATACTTTTCATAATTTTCACAATATAGTATCATTATTAATAGCTGTTCCAGAGTTCACTCATTTCTCACGAAACTCATCACAGACAGGTTAGAAAACCAGGCATACTTTTCAACACATTTTTCCAGTTTCTTGTGCATAACTATCACCTGCATCAAATTTTCCTTCTTTCAAAGGATTTCCTCCTGCTCACTGATTCTGCAAACTAACTTACCCATGACTGCTAGAAATAACATGGCCTGGTGATGCAGCAGGCCAGCAAACACTGACCCACAATCTGTCTCTAGGGCCATAAGAATCATGTTTGTCCTTTCGTGATGATCTTTTAGGCAGTTGTTTAATGGACAGAACTTTGCCTTGTGCTGCATTCCATAACCTGACTGTCTGATCCCTTGAACCTGACACTATCAAGTGTCCTTCGGCAGCTGAAACCTTGTCTTGTATAGGACCTTAAAATAATGCATGTCTTATAAACCCTCTAGTTAATACTATAACAAAATTCTCTAATGTGATTGGTAATCACCAGCCCAATTTGAGAACTAAGAGGAAAGTATACACATCATGCTTGCAATGGGACAATGTAATAGGACAGTTGATGAGTCATACCTATGCAAGAGGACATATAACGGGTGTCTAGTTTCTTTTTCTCAAATTATGTCATAATGTTGATTAACTAGTAACAGGGCTTTGTGTTGTCCAATTCTTTCAGTGATCATACTCATGATTAACAATTCGGACTCTTGCAGTGATAAACAAATTGGACTTATGAAGTTGTCCAATTTTTTTTGATCACTTGTATGATTACAGACAGAATTGGACTCCACTCAGTCCTACTACGATAATGATTATTAATTAAATATGATTTATTTAATAAATCCCCTCTGTAAAAATGTAAACTCTGGTCAACTGCCAGGCAACCCATCAATAGGAATACTGCTGCCCCCTCTCTTCTCTGGGAATGAGATGCAACTCCACCTGTAGCAGGAATATTTTATTGATCTACACAATATACTGTATGGTTAATATAAAAATTTACCAAAGTCAATGTCTTCCTTAGGTGCTGGACACCAGGCTAGACTGTGAATTTCACTAGAATGTCCTTGCAGTTTGTGCACTAACGAAAAACTCCTTCTGCTTGTATCAACATTCAAAACAGCGATCAGACCACTCTTGTACCTACAAGATAATAATAATCTGAAATTTACTAAAACTGTCTTTAATAAACCATTTTTTGAGAATGATCTCTGGCTAAAACATTTAAAAAGTTACAAGCTATCAACTGCCTGAACTGCAGTCTTCAACAGGTGAAATCAGAATGAAAAAAATTGGAAAAAATTTGAATAAAAAACCATGAAGTTGCGAAATTATTAATCATGAATTATTTGCAGTTCAGGAGGTTCAAAGCTTGTAATATTCTAATCGTTTTACCCAGAGTTCGTTCTTAAAATAAATTACCAACTGTCTGAAATAAGATGGAGTGTGCAAAAACAAACAGAACGTTCCTCAACTGAATGAAACTGTGCACAACAGGACATTCTTTAGAGGGTGAAGGATGAATACAAAGGACCACTTTGACAGAGACTACTGCTTAAAATCTAAACTAGATTATGGTTTAAGAGACCAAGACAAAAAAAAAAGCTGTAAAATTTTCTCCAATCTGTTTGAACTCACCCAACAGCTATTTCACCTTGTGAAATATAGGAAAGAGCCACAGAGAAAATATGATCTTGGACTGGACAAGCTTCAAACAGATTTTCTTCTGTATACCTCCATGCAATGATAGAACCTTTTTCATCACCTGTAAGTAATGGTACAAAAACTTTCAAAACAGGGTGTCAACTGTATCTTTGATATGAACTCCCAGAAGTGATTAACATAAAACTTCTACCTCTAATATCCTTACATTCTTCAGCAAACAGGTAATGAGAATATCAAAAATATTGTATGTTTAACTGGGTCAGGTAGAGAAAGATATGGCTTAAGGAAACAGCAATACATGTGATTAATGAAAAAAAGTTATTGACGACTCCGCCATCTACTTTTGACCAGATAATGCTGTAAAGTAGCCCAAGAATTCTTTGATCCCTGTTCCTGATTTACACCCTCTCTGCCTACAGGAACATAATTCAAGAACATATACATGTAAATGTGTCCAAGTTCAGGTGATTCAATCACAGAATTCAAGACCATTTGTAGGCACCAAGTATACAAGCAAACTCGGGGAAAATATTTATTGCCTCTCCCCCTCCCTCTCCTTCCTTTCGACCATCATTCACTCTTTGAGTCTTTCTCTCCCCAGCCTTCTGCTGCTAAGATAAATCAAAGATGGCAGCTATAATTTTCATGAAGAAAATACTAAACACTTGCTCACCAAAATCATAGCTATTCTGTGAACTATTCTGTGAGCTATTCTGGTCAAATAGCAATGTTACCAATCTCTAAGGATGATTTCCATTCAGAAAATTTGTTTAACACATTATATGTGCAGGATTCTCTTACCTGAGATAACAAGATCTGTAACAACAGGAGACCAAGCAAGGCATGTCACTTTAGCCTAAAAGATAAAGGAATACTGGATATTATCATCAATTAGATTAAGGAAAAAGATAATGTTTCTTAGAAGATTCTGGTATGCAGTTGTACATAACATCATGTCATCCATACATTTCTCATCTCATCTATTTATATATTAATGTCTATAGGCAGAGCTGAACAATGACATGTCACACAAGGTTTAAAATTCAGGGAATTTTCAAGAAAAAAAAAGGGCACTGGTATTTAAAATTGAGGCATTTTGTTGTTGAGAAATTTTTTTTAAAATATTGTTCTGTAAAAGAAAAACGGCAAGGAAAACAATGCCTAGAAGCAACAGAATGGAAAATCAAACTTAAAAAAGATTCAAAATCTGTTTTTCACACCAAAGCCAGGCGCAGATGCAGATGTTAACCCTTTACACCCACTGGTCAGTATTCATATTCTTCATACTGTTCTTGGTACATATTTTATAATGCCAATAAGGAGAATTTGCCTAACAATCAAAAGCTTCTTAGTTGGTGATCATTTCTCTTATTCTTGTAACCTTTGTGTGTGATTCAAGGGTGATATTGTAAGGAGAAATTAGATGATAATCACTCTTAGGGGTTAAGGGTTAAACAGCTATACCTTGTCCACATAGAATCTAACTGTGAGAGTTAGCGAGGAGAAGAGAGTGTGATGCAAGAAACAAGAGACATAGTAGCTCTGGCTGTTTGATGGGGTAATGTTTCATCAAGCTCACATATCTCGATCCGAAAAAATAAATAAACAAATAAATAAATATAAACATTAACCAAAATTCACAAGATGCTAAGAAGGAAACTTAGTTGTAAAAAAATAGCTTCTATAGTCATATTTGGGTCATATCGTTATTCTGAAACTTGAGCTATACCAGGAAAACAGGAAAGAAGCGAAGGAGAGTTTCAAGATAAATTCAGCTGAATGAATTCAGCTGTTCATGGAGTAAATCAAATCAGCCGTAATAAATAATACCAAATATATTTACAGGATTATAATTTTGTGGAAATAAAAATACGTACATTGTGCGCCTTATGTTCCATTAGTGCAAGCTTTGACCCTACGTCCCAAATTTTCACTGTTTTATCATCCGAACCGCTAGCAAGGAAACTCGCGTGAAGCTTGTGTTTGGAAAAACACACACTTGTCACACGCTCCACATGGCCGTCAAGTTGACCCTCAAAAACAGGCGACACCGAGCTGACGTCCAAAAGATAGACGCAATTTCTAGCACCAAACGCATAAATACTGTTCAAACTACAGTCTGCCACAGTACTACAATACCAGTTAGGGGATGCGAGAAGAACGAACTTCGACGCATCGTCGGCCATGTTGGAATAGAAACCGCGAAAATGCTGTAGAGAGACTGGCACTAATGGTGGTGCCACCAAAGATCGCGGGACCCTGGAACAGAGAGTTGTTTCAAGATGGCCGCGTCTAAAGGTACGTGTGGTATATATGATATCTTTTCGAGTTATGAGCTCATTTTTAAAGGACGTATGCCAATTTGAAACATGTTTTTATTTTTCTAATAGTCGAGGGACTCCTTAGAGTTGTACAGTTTCAGCTAAAGTAAGTTTCTTACTGAAGGCCAAGGCTTGAGAAAGTCACAAAATAAGGCTCCTCTTTAAACCTGTCTCACCAGTTTTTATAGCATATTGCACTCAGACTTTAACTTAAATTCCACATTCTAGAAAATCAGGAGCATTAGTGATGTATCATGTAGCTTACTGGGATATCACTCGGATAAACTTATCTAGAGAAAACTAAAACATATCTACTCAGACTCCGAATATCTTTTGCTATTCACGTCCGAGCAACTCGTGTGGGATATGTGCCTGAAAATACTGAAATCGGCGCAAGGATAAATGAGTTAAAATCACCTTTTTGTGCTCTATTTTCTTAATGTTTTAGTTTTTATTAAAACAACTATTCACCTCAGTCTCAGTGGCCAGCAGTGTCCTCTAGTAAATATTTACCATTAGCCACCTCCACTTTGGTAAATAGTTGTTATAATTATTTAGATCTATTTGTTTTTATGAAAAGTTCAACATCTTACTTAACATTTTCTCTTTGTATTTAAGGAACCTGTCCCTGCGGCCAGTTTTGTGCTCAAAGCTGCACACCTGTGCATTGCGACCTGCTACTTTTTCAATTACCAGAGCACTATGGGGGAAAACACTGGCTGAAATTGAAGAGGAAAAGGGAATTCCAGAACCCCCACGAGAGGTATGCCTAACTTCAAAATAGTATTGATAGGTTGTGGAGCTAGATATTGGGATATATGCTCTCATGAAATACTCGACAGGTATAGAATTCAATATAGAAGCTTGCCCTTAAATTATGGCAGATGCACATGTGATTTTTCCTTTCTTGCCATACATTTCACACTTGTTAGGAAAATCACCTTTAGAAGCGCAATGTAGACTGGTACAAAAGGCATTTACGAGAAACAGGGTATTTGTTAAGATTACTTTGCAGTGCAAATTGCCAGTACCTTGTGTCTGAAGGTGATTGAAATAACCATTTGAACACCATTTTATCGGGGCAGTAAAATCAATCTTCAGATTGAATGTTTAAATGTGGAAGTGAGAGCCATAATTTGCCCTAACAGAGAGCAAGTGCTCAACACCATGATGATTGATTTTCCTTTATGATAAGCTAATTGTTTTCTCTTCAGTACAATTGACAAACAACACCTTAAAGTAAGCATATTCTCCATAGTGTTCCCTAAAGATTTCCTTAGGCGCAGACAGGAAGAATCTGTTTGACAATCATAAGTTTTTTTGTTTAATTTCCTTTATTCTCTTGTCCTAAATGTGTAATTCAGGAGTGTTATTGTAAGGAGAAATTAGATGCCAGTCATTTTTAAGGGTTAAAGGGTTAATGTTCTCTATTTATCAAACTATGACAGGGTGGCATGTCAAAGTCTCTTAGTTAAAAATCAGTAATTTTTTTCTTTGTAGACCATTCACCATGTTAGAAGAGAGATCAAAGGAAGCCCAACTAAGTTTAATGCAGTAGCAAAACAGGTGATTAGTTTTCTTCCATTTTGATGGTGTAAAAGAAGAAAACTAAAAGAACATTTGAGAGGCTTGCTTAATATACATCAATTCAAGCCCTGCACCCATTTTTCCATTCATTTGTAAAGTTACAAATGACACTGTAACTCTTGATATCCTTGTTTTCCCTTAGTTACTTAATATTAACTCTTTAACTCCCAGAAGTGATTAACATAAAACTTCTCCCTATAATATCCTTACATTCTTCAGCAAACAGGTAATGAGAATATTCAAACTTATCAGGTAGAAGCTGCTAACTTGATCTAGCACCAAGTTCCCATAACTAATTTACAAGGAAATGTGTAGCAGCTACAGAGGAGAATTAACAATCAGATCTTGGGAGTTAAAGGGTTGAGTTAACAAACTACCATTAACTGAATGCATGTAGCATTCAATTCATACAGTTTTTACTCCTGCAACCAACAAGCCTGTGAAATTTAAGCTCTTTTTAGAGCTTTCAAGAGCTTTCTTGCATGCTGGTGAAATTAGAACTGAAAGGATCAGGGTTTGAACTCAATTTTCAGTGGATGCTCAGGTCACATCCACAGTCAACGTTTAAGTTGAGAGTTTGTTTTGTGAGCATCATTTTATGGGCTGGATTTAGTATGCTGAAGTCTGTGGTTTCAGTTTGTGCCCTTGATGGTTTTATTGTGCTGGTGTCACTGGTTTAAATAGATGTACATGTCTTGTAAAGTAATGTTTGTTTATTCTTGTGTGTTTGTTTGTTTTTTTTTTTTGCACAGATCAGGGGACTGCAGATTGAAGAAGCTATTAAACAGATGACATTTTCACCCAAAAGACCAGCAGAAATTATTAAACAAGTAGGTATTACCTAGAGAATATAGGAGGATTTGTATTCAAACAGATTGCTATATCTTGAATTTAGGAATAATACATACAGCTAAAGAAAGCAACATTTCTCAGTCTATCATGCAGTTGGTGATTTAAATAACAGCTGGTCAGTCCACTCTCTTAGATCCATGTCTAATGAGAACCAAATTAATTTATTCCTTGCAGAACTTAATGGTAAAAAATGTCACATAATTTTTTTTTCTCAAGGTAATCCTAGAAGCACAAGGAAAAGCTCAAAAGGAGCATGATGTAGAGGATAAGACACACTTGTGGGTTGGTAAGTATTTACCAAACAAGTGTAGAATTACAGTGAGGAACAATGATTCATGCTGTGCTGCTCTTACAGAAAAGATTATCAGAAAACTCCACAAGCCACAACTGTGTTTTTACTATGCTAGGAAGTAATCAGTAGTCTGTGACTGAACAGTACAGGAAGATTTGGGGTTTAACCTGTTAGGTGGCTGAAGGTTTAGGGTTACAATATTGAATTTAAGGTATTTTGAGCACTGAACCAAAACTGAAGTGTAATATGTGCCTAAGTGTTCTGTGACAGTAATAAACATCTTCACCCATGACACTGGGTGAGCTCTGTCATAACAACTGTTACAAGTTACGGCCCTCTTTGAAAGGCATGGTGACTGGTGGTGTTGGATATTGGTTGTCACTGTGTTGAGATAATAGCAAACTGGCCTCATATCCTCTGGAATGAGTCCATGTTCCTGAGAGTTTCATCTCTTAGCTGCAATTTTTCTTGCTCTCAGTCATTCCATCTACATTGTCTTCTCTTACAGCTCAGTCTTATGCTAGCAAAGGACATTACATCAAGAGAATGAGGTATCATGCAATGGGTCGCTTTGGCATCAGGCATATAAAATACTGTAATTACTTTGTTGTCCTGAAAGAAGGAACAGCCAGACCAAGAAACAAGAAGAGAAGAAGGAGACACATGAGTGAGTTAGAACTTGTGCAAAGGCATCCACGACACATTCGGAACTCTCTATCATGGTGGTGAAGAAGGCTTGACCTTGATCATTATGGCTGTGGAAAATGTAAATCCTCTCTAAAACACCTGTACACAGCCAACCTGGCTGTTATGAATAAAGGAAGGATATCAATTTTATCAGATACTGTCCTTTTAATGTTCTTGAATATGCACTTGAAGTAACTTCTGTTTCTAATAGGGACGGAACAACGTGAAAATAACAAAACAAAACCAAACGAACCAAGTGGGACCTGGAACGGCTAACGTGATGACAAAATAAACAAGAATGATAATCTCTCGTTTTTATTATAAAGAGCATATATATAAAAAAAACTATGTAATTTTATTTACATTCCAACAATATTACTAACAACGTTAGATAATTTTTATGGGCAGTCCACAACGCCAAACAGTAAAAACCAAAATGGCATCTTTTCTCTTAATTGCTAAATTCTTTGAAACTTGCCTTCTAATAGCGCTACACCAAGCATTACTGAATGGACACTTTTCTTAAAGGAAAAGGTTTTAAAATTGTGGTTACCATACAAGTAGACAAACATGCACGATCTAGTACAAATGTTAAGTCCTATCCCATTGTCCTCACGCAAGCCCCTAACTGAAAGCCTTTGAAAAGTAACCTCTTCACGGACACGGAATACCCCGATATGCTAACGTTCAGGATTTCTTTGAGGCATCAATGCCACACGTGAAGACGACAACTGCCTACCACGTGTACAGGCACGAAAAATTACGAATTGCCGAAAGTTAGGGCGGTTAGAAAATTCAAAATTCTTTCTAAACCTTACTTTCAATTACAAAATAGGAGAAAAAATATCCCTCTCTGAGTAGCTGAACCTTATCTCTGCATTAATTAAATGTTGTACACCGCTTAACATTTCAAAATGGATCCAGTAGCAAATTCAGATCATATCGGTGAAACAAAAGCCTGATGAATTGGCGGCTGAAAGCAGCGGACATGTTCAACAGGACCGTCTGAGGACTTGAGGTGCTTGTTGAGTACCGCGAATATCTGGTCGTTTAGTACTTTGAAGTGACGTGCTCGGCTAACAAGCCGCTTGAGATCCTGAAACGAATGTAAGATAATATTCTTCTTAGCCACGTCTGTTTCTGATACTAGGATGTCAACAGTAAAATGAATGGAACTAATTCTAGCCTCTTCGACGCTAACAAATCGACTGGAACGACGTCGTTCAGCATTTTCAACCAAAATGTGCTGACCAAAAAGCTATGGTGAGCACAAGGAATAATAAACTTTCCGCTAGGCTTCCGTCTGCGTCTCAAAAACATTTGCGCTTTACCTCTCTATTTAAATGTGACCGGTCCAGGGTGGGGAGAGGAAACACAAATTAAATTTGATAAGAACCCTCTTTGAAGCACTTTCCTCTCGACCACGCCCTTGACAAAGGAACTGAAGAAATTTTGCCCCAAATGAATCTGCGCAGGGTACATACCACGCCTCCAATCACTTCGTCCCGAGAATCCACCTCGTAAACTTTGACGATATGATAACAGAAATCCAACGCTTCAAAACGATTTTCTTGTCCTAGCAGAGCAATGAAGGTACATCCGGCCCAGTTGAGGCCTTCACCAAAGCACTGCCTGAAATAAGCGAGGAGAGCAACATGAGGAAAGCCTTGCATAACAGGTTAGTTCATATCACAGTATCATACGAGTGATAACGTGAGCTTAAGAACAGATGGACTGATCTTATTAGCAACTTCAAATTGCTGATAGGGTTTGAAATATTGCCGTGGTTTGTCAGTGGCAATGAGATTTATCAATAGCCAAAGTCGAGCTTTAGAAGAAAGCGTGTAACAAAATCGCGATTGGTTTCAGTTTTGTATTTCATTGGTTGAGAGGCTGGCAGGAGTATTCTAGACCAATTAAAAATTGACGTAAAGCAAACCATTCAAAATACTAGACTTTAAATGATAAGCTGAATTATACACGCCTTTTGGTTGGTTATTGCTGATGATCTATTGGAGGACAGACACAAAAATGAAGTCACCATTAACAGTATATTGCTTTTTATCAAACAGAGAGAGAGTCAAATAGAAAGTATTGTAAATACAAAGTAACACTTACTCGACAGTGAGTTCATTTTGCCGCAGCGGCTGGCAGTAGTTGAACTGGATGGCACTCCACAGACGGTGAAACTCTCTACACTCGTCAATGTTCATCACTCCATTGGATGGTGGTATCTCTTGCCATATTTCATGAACCAGGAACTTTTTTATCCTTTTCAACACCACTTCAAAGATGGAAAGTCCACAGCAAAGTCTTTCTTTCGTCAACACGTCGCCTTCTTTAGCGTTGACTATTTGCTGCAAAGAGAACAGCCATCCCTCGTCAACGACGCAAATATGAAGGTACAGTTCGTGACAAGTCACATAATGGCGCAATAGCGTTGCGTGACGAGCTTCGTCAAGACCTTAAGATACTAGACCGGGAATATACCTCTTTGGTTCCAAGCTTGGTGATGGTTGACAACACTTGCAAAGAGTTGTACTGTTTTTCGAGTTTCTCCATTTTGACCTGGAGTTTTTCACCATCTGCCATTGACAAAAAGAAAACAAAGGAAAACTGTCAGACGTAAAAAAGAACAGCTTCCGTTTCGTGCTGCTGTACTGCCTAAATGTTTCTCTTGTTTTTTCTTGAATTTGTGAGTACCCAAGTTTATTCTCTCCTCCAGCTTCTACACATTTCCTTGTAAACTAGTTACGAGATTTGGTGTGAGATAAAGATAACAACTCCCACCTGATAAGTTTGAGTATTCTCATTGCCTGTCTGCTGAATAATGTATGGATATTAAAGGGAGAGGTTACATTTCGTTGCGAGTTTATAAGAAGGAAATGGGGTGAGGCGGTCGTACACGGAATTTTATAAAAAGAGGTACTGTTGATAGTCTACATTAGACCCAAACTGAATCTCAACTGTAATACTATAGAAAAAAAAGGATATTCTCGATAAAAATTAAGTAGTGACAGTTCTTAAATGGAAACAGACCAATCACCAAGTGACAGAGCGCAGCCAGAGAGCTGACTTCAAGGCGATCACCGACAATTAAAAAATTTAGCGAGTGACAAGAGAACTGATACGAAGACAAGACCACTACTTGAATATAAGTCCCAGTGCCCGAACCACTCGGTTTACTCTGTCTGACTTCATAAAAGTTTCAATATTCTAGTCACCAATCAAGTTACCTTTCAGATAAGGCCTGGGGATAATTCCTTGGAATGGAGCTGCGTGTAACAGATCAATAATCTCTTCTTGAGACTAAAAAATTAAATCAAAAAAATTAAGGAACAATTACAAGGAACAAAGTTTTCCAAGTTGTGGCCAGTTATGTTACTTACATTGGTGAAGTTCTCACTTCTCAAAATTCAAAAGAGCATTAGCTCGCCAACGACCTACGATTACTTGGAACTAAAACAAGCTTTACTCACAAGGAAGCCCTCAAGTTGTACACAGAACAGTATGGCATTGCCGATCTCTCTGAATCCCTGGAACACATCTGTCCTCAAGTATGGGTACTGCATGATCGGTTCCAGGCTAGCATGATAGTATTCCAGAACACCTTTAGGAGGACGAAAGAGAAAAGATTACAACATACTATAAAAAAGAACAATTAGAGCAAAACGCCATACCTTTTATTTTGCTCTGAGTTGCCTTGAAATTACCGTACTATTAATACAAGTCTTTAATAGGCCTGAATGCTGTTTTCAAACTAGTTGTTTGCGATGTAGGCTATATTACGATCAGTGTCTGAAGCCCAAAACTAAAGTAATCACTGACAACGACCGATCAGACGATCAGACGATCACAACAAAGGATAACATCTTATGGAGCAAATGTCGACCCAAGGTAAATTGATGTAATTGGCCTCGTGTGCACAAAAAAATACGCAAGCGGCCAAGTTAGGGACAGCTTTGGCTGTGGGTCTGACTGATTGAGAAGGTTGCCCCGGAGCAAACTAAAACCAGTGAAATCCCAGATTACTTTCGTGATGGAATATTTGCCAAAAACTCTCATTTCAAGTTACCGCCAAAGGTTAAGTCATACATGCGCGCATTACAAATAACGAACGACTCCAGTAAGATTTCCCTCCGTCTTTGAGAGTAAGTATATTACCTGTTGATCCGTACTCAAAGCGAGGAAGGCCACATTTCTTTGGCATCCCTTCGATGAGCTGTGCTATGTACAGCTGAAGTTGACCTTGAAGCTATAGATCAAAATAACAAATTTTACATTAAGAGGACTAGAATTGTGTTTACAAGCCCTGAGCTGATTTAGGTTTTCAAAGGTGTTTTACGATGGGCAAAACGCGGCTTTAGCGTGCTGTGTTCCGGATCGAAGGCCTGCGTTCGAGCCCTTGTCATGTCAGTGTGTTGTGTCCTTAGAGCAACATACTCAGCATCGACGGAAGACTTATGAAGTGCCATAGGGGAAGAGTGGGAATAACCTTAATTGGACAAGCATCCGCCCAGGAGGAAGGGGAATATGATTAGTCGCTTTCCATGACAGAAATTGTATTCCGGCTCTAACAGCCATGCGAGTCAGGGATCTATGTAGATTTTTCTTTTTTTAGCTAAATCAGGAAAGGGGGAGAGGGGGGAATCGGGTTTAAGGCGAGGAATACAGAATTCGTCGGCAGAAGAAGCATGAGATTACATGGATCGTGACAACTATTGATAAAGTTACCACATCTATCAAAATAAGGTCAATCCAGTCTGTACCAAGATTTTTGACACTCATTTTTAGTGAAATGTAAGATGGTTCTTAAATAGCTTACCACACTCTTGATAATCTTAAGAAGTTCCTCGATCACAACAGCAATTCCTTGATAACCAAGCAAGCGAGACATGCAAGCAAAATGAATATCTCCGACAAAGTTGCTGTACAGTGATCCAATGGCATTGAAAACTGAGTTTTGAAGCTGTAAGGAAAACAATATATAAACAAATACATGAACACAAATTGAAGTCAATATCAAGCAGCACTAACAATTCAGTCATGACAGGATAATTAACCCATTAACCCCCGAGGTCTCTTTAGTAGTTTTCTTTAACGCCTGCTATATAACTCTCGAGGTGTAAGTTTGGATAACCTGGCATTGGATCAAGTAACAATCTCCTAATTGATACCTTTCTCTAAATTATATTGATATTGTAAGGAGATATTCTGTCTAATCACTCATTAGAGTTACACGGTTAATAATGAAGATGAAGCCCGAATGAATGTTAAGGAGCAGCACTGGCCAGCCATACAATCACATTTTGTGAAGAAAGTTTTGAAATTACCTTAGTGCCAAAGAAGTAATGATGTGCTTGTTTTGGAGCTTGTTCTCTGGAAACCTTTTCCACCAAAGAAAGCGACGTGGGGACAAATCTGTAAACAAAATAAAGTATCGTAATTTATTAAAAAAAAAACTCTCGGTGACTTCTGAAGAAATGGAATATAGCATTTATGTGACTTGTTCGTAGAGCACTTTTGGATTGAGTGTCTTAAAAACAAAACTAAAGTACCCAAAATGGCCAGTCAGAAGAAAGGAAAGTAACCAGCAAAGCGAAAAAAATAGAACAAGCGGAACAAGAGGAGCAAGAGACCAAGTCGTGACTGGTGTTAGTTTAGCATGTGATTGGTTGAGAGAGTGACGCGAGTCTTCTGGACCAATCACAGAGCAAAATGAAGAAAAACCAATGCCATCTCCAGTTACTTTCGAAACTCAATCGAAAATTGCTCAAACAAATGATCAAAACTCTAAATTGAGAGCAAGACATTCTAAAAGAGGTGGGCGTTTATATGAGTAAGGGGTTTCTTTGTATTAGAGTATTCACAATAACTTTCCTCACCTGTTTGTGGACGAGTTATAGCAGTAGTTTGGAAGAAAATCGAAGTTGAGTTCCCAGAACACATGAAGGGTGATCCTTCCATAAGGCGCAGACACCGAATGGTTGGCCTCACCCAACATGTTCTTAAACGGAATCAGCTTTACGCACTTGGACAACAACTGATGCGTCATTCGGTTCACTTCAATAAGGTTCTCCAAGTCCTACAAAACACGAGTCACTGAGAAACTATTTGTACGTCAAAAAAGAGTGGACCTTTCACTATGAACATCAATGTAACTTAAACCAATATCAAGAAAGGGAAGAGTTTTAAAAAACATACCACAACACCACAGATATCTCCACTCTCGAACCGCGCGATTGCACAGTCCAAAGACTTTATCATGGCGGTGTTCAGACGCTGCGTGATGAGCTTGTTCAGGTCGATTGACCGGCCTAGAAGCTGAGAGAAAAGGAGGCTGCTAAATGAAATGGCCGACAATCGTCTTGGCACCACCTCCAGATTCAACCACACCATCATCTCCCCAACCCCCCCTCCCCCCGCCAGTCCCCTTCCAAAAGAAAAGAAAGAGTGAACAGCATCAAAATTTTGGCCGTGCATTGATTGTGGGGAGAGTATTGGCTACGCTCGTAGGATGAGGAAGTTAACACTATCACATTATAAGACAGGGCTTTTCCCTTCCTCCCCATCCCCAACCCAAACCCAGGATAAGTTGCAGATGATCTATGTGAGACTGATATTTTAAGCTACTTATTAATAAAGTTATCATATTCTGTTTCTTGTTCTGGTTTCAATTTTCGTAATTCTTTTCCTGCACTGATACGATTTTTCCCAAGCAAGAAAATTCCATATGTACCTGTACATGCCTCTGTCTAAGAAGAGTCTCATATCTGTTGGATCGGGTCCCCAGTTTCGCAGCTGCCTCAGCATTCAAACGGACCAGCTCCGATTTGAACTTCTTGTCCAGTAACATACTACAGAAACAAAAAACAAAGCACGATTGAACTCTTCCATGAGTGACCAGGACAGAATTTCTCTCCTCACAATGTAAATATACGTGTAACTCTATTATGTACCACACAAGTAAATGGTGTTTTTCGCAGGCGCTGATTGGCTAGTTGGGAAGTGAATAGCGCGTACCATTCACCTCCGAACAGCCGATGAGACAAAATCGCGCGTCGAGACCCTAATTACTGACCATTTTTCGGTATATTGAAAAAAAAAAAAATTTTTTTTTTTAGTATCCTTGTGTATTCAACTCAGTTTTGGCGAAAGTGGTAGATGTTTACCTTTACTTCGTTGAATAATGAAGGGAGGGGGGGGAGCATATACTTTTAACTTGTCTCATGCCTATTCTCCCCGTTCCCCACCCCCAAGAAAAAAACTTGTCACGCCGGATGTTTACCCCATCGCTCTCAAGATCTGAGACCTAATTTTCCAAACCGGCATCCATTTATTTCCTTTATTGCGATATTGTGAATCTATCCTAAAGTGGAAAATTTTCTTAATTCTCTGCTTAACTGGGTGCATAACCTTGCGGGTAGGATTTGCATCCTGACAAGAATTACCACACGACAGTTACCTGCAGGCCTGTGCCTTGTAGTAGGAAAATATCTGATCGCTTAGTTTGTACACAAACTGGTCAAAGCACAGGTTCACCTGTCGGAAGAGGGAAGGATATGAATAAAAAAATCCAACGAAAAGTACCCCTAGCTGAACAAAAAAGGCGTACAACTCTCAAGATGAAAATTCAATACATTTCTTCGCCGCTCACCTCTGCCTCAATTTCATCATACAGATACTGCTTTTTAAATACAGTCATGGCGTAATGAGCGCTGTCGTTATAAAGATCCAGCGGGTACAACACATACCTACACCACGGAATAGCAAAGAGAACAGTTTTTAACAACTTCCTTTGCGTTAATTTTACAAATCCTTGGTATTCATATTAACTAGTTCTTAAAAACTGCCTCTAAGTTTTGACATGCTCTGACCACGAATTATTTTTAACTAACATTTTTCGCGAAATATGGGAAATTCGGTGGAATTCGGGTCACTCAATTGTTTTACAACATGAGCGGCAAAAACGCCCCAACTACTACCCCTTTTCAATTAGAAGTTAGTTTTGTGTGTCTGTTTGCCGTGTTAGATATCATTAGTCGATAGTGATTCTAACATATGTTGTTTCTGCCATCATACTTTGGTCAATAAAATTAAACACAAAAGCAAACCGCTTGGTGAGACAAAACTGCAACAATAACACGCCGGTATTAAAAAATACCTCATCTCCATGTTTGATATAAATACTCACTCCATCATGCTTGGATTTTTGCTCTCTAGAATGTGATTTGTCAAGATCCATGGCATCGACATCTCAATTGGAAACTACGAACAAAAAACTAAAAATCAGCAGGTTAAAAAAACAACATCAACAAGGGAAAGAAAGAAAAGAGAAAAGGAATAGGGGGGAACTCAGAAATTTCCTTTGCTCCACGCTCGTAACCAATATTTCAAATCCTTAGAGCTTACTGTCATTTGAGGAGAAAAGGCAATCATAAAAACACACGGTTATAATGCACGCACTTTGCTACAACTATTGCAGCTTGTTTATGGGTCAAGTTCAATCAAACCTGGGGTGAACTCCGACAGGCGGAAAAAATCTCGCAGGCTGTGGGCAAGCGTGATGCAGTAGTCGAACCCAGGACAACCAACAAAACAAATCCAGTCTGTGGCGCTGCTTCCATTTAGTAACAGTTAATGCACGCTACCGAGTCCTGTGTAACTCGGAAGACTGGGCATCAGACCGAGAAGGTCCTGTGAAAAGTCTTACACTTTCCTCAACCTTTTTACTCCCATGATCTCAATTTAGTGGATCTCCTTACCGTCTACCATACAATTCGTACGATATTAGTTCGGAGAGTTTGGTATTGGATCAACTAATGATCCCCAAATTGATATTTGTCTTTATTCACATCACTTGTCTACATTATATTGTAATTATATTATAAGGAAAGATTCTATCTTGATCACTACTGGGAGTTTATAGGTTAATGCCGGTAAGTCGTTTTTAAGCAGTTCTAACCTGAATTCTGGCACCCATTGTCAACTCCAGATAAAATTCTCTGAACCACAGTTGAGAAAGGTCACAGCACTCCCTCAAAACTTCATTAAAACGAAGCATTTGTTCAAAGAAGAAAGACTTCTTCAAGAACTCTTCAATCTGCTCCACTGATTCTTTCTCCAGTTCTTTGCGCATGACCTTTTTGCCTCCTTTCTCAGAAATTAAGGATTCCAGCATGGTGCGGACCATGTACAACTATTAAAAGGAAAAACAATTGTTATAATATCACCAAAAAAATCTCAAAAGACAGGTAAAGCTTGGAGAATTAGAGCAATTTTCCAGAAGGAATCCAGGAGTGCTTTGTTTTTGGCTTACTTTGTTAAGTAATTGGTCAAGAAAAGTCGCGCTACGGCCCTCTCAACCAGTCGGGTTCAAATCTAAAATCAATCACGACTTGGTCACTCGCGTTTTCCCGCGCTTAAGGCAGTTTCTCATTTTAACTTTCCTTTATTCTGATTGGCTTTAGTGATTACTTTGGTTTTGGTTTGGTAACACTAAATCGAAAAGCACGTTAAAAATTATGAGCAAAGTGAGCCAATACAGAATTAAATTTTACATACTGCCATTTGTTGTGGTGTATAAGCTCACCACTTTGTCGCTCTACTCATTAAAATGAAGACAAATCACCTATACCACAAAATAAAGAGAAATAAGGGCAACCTGTGCCTGTGTGCTTCCCACCAAGTCAGCTTTAAACAGATCGTGGTCAAGTTTTCATTTTAGCCTGCTCGTTGATTTAATCTCTTACATTACTGGAGCTCTTACGCTGTTCAAAAAGTGCACATTGTTACCTGTGTACTAGAGGGTCCCACGCCCCTTTCTGGTATCTTAATGGTGGGCCCTGCTTTAGGGTCCTTTTCTCCCTTCAGAATAGGGTCCCCTCTTCCATGCTGCCCATCGGCCCAGTCTCCCCCGGTCTCCCGAATGGACAATAGAATTCTGAAGTGAAAACACAAAATGTATGTTGCTGGGTGACATGTGACATTTGTGACCCTCCATGGGAAAACGGACACTAACGCTTTTCCGTTTAAACTGCAAAACCGTTTACTATCCGTTTAAACGGTTCATGAAAGCGTTTAAACGGTTTGCTTATCCGTTTAAAAAAATTTGCATCCGTTTAACGCTTTAGCTAAAACGTTTAAGCGGTTTGCTTATCCGTTTAAAAAAATTTGCATCCGTTTAATGCTTTTGCCAAAACGTTTAAGCGGTTTGCTCATCCGTTTAAAAAAATTTGCATCCGTTTAAAAAGATTTGCATCCGTTCAACGCTCTAGCAAAAACATTTAAACGGTTTGCTTATCCGTTTTAAAAAAAAAGCTATCCGTTTAAAGTTCCACGGAAAGCTTTGGACGGTTTGCCTATCATTCTGTTACGGGCAGTTCGAAGTATCAATCTTACGTTCGCTCGATACTCGCCGGTTAAATTTTAACTAAAAAGAGAGACTGACAATACATTGAAATACATACATCTGCTACACGAGAATTTGGTTTTTGTTTTTGTAACATCTGCTAAGGAAGCATCAATTTTTCAATGTCACCGTTTTGCAAGTTGTAAGAATTTAACGATTATTTCAATAAAACTCTTTCATTCGCAACCAAATTGGCGAGAATGAGTTGGAAACAAATGCAAAGAACAGTTCGAAACAAAAATACAACAACCACAAATTGTCCTCAACATCTACACTCACGTTTTCAGAAGAGTAGCCTTTTTGCTCTTGACAGCTTTTCTCAGTGGCTCTCGCAGGTTCACTTGAATAAACTGCTGCACTTCTGTATGTACGGAATGTTTGATCACTTCTGAAAACATTGGTTCAAGTCGCACTATCTGACCATAAAGACCTTTGATCATGGCAATCACCTGACAGAATAGCAGAAAAGTATTTGTTAAGTTACAAATTTTTCATTTCCTCTCTCTCTTCTCCACCAAATTCTGCTCTTTAAGCCAATTCAATTTTTCTGCTTTTCCTTCTTTCAGCATTTTTAACGTAACTTTTAAATCATGTTTCGCAAAGTCGTTTACCTCAACAAGTGAAAACTTTTCTTCGCTGTTGTAGTTGTACCTTGTAGCCTAAAAGTAAAACAAAGAAAAAGTTGTGTTAGGAATCATTTAAAAGGGTTAAAACTAATACTAAAGATATTTCCATGCAATTTACTTGCCACAAATATAACTCGCCATATTTATCAGCAACAAGAAGGAGAAATATAAAAAGGAACTCATTAACCAGTGGGAGACCCCTTGTCTAAAGATAAACATGAAAGTCCTCTTTTCCTTTTCTCAGAGATCAAAAAATGTTTTACAAGCACTTTAAAAACAGGAAAACCAAATTTAACTATGATGATCATTAATAATTTTACTCACTCTTTCATATTCTTCAGCATCATCAGGACATTGAGGATTGCCATACCTGTCTGTAGGATGTAGAAGTTTCCAAGAGTACTGTGCCAAAACCAAAATAATTATTGCGATAAATACACACCACTGACTTTCAACTTGAGTTCATTTAAAATCCCCTCCATTCAAAGGAAAGATACTGAGAATCATTTCATGGGGTAACTATGTAACAATAGCCTTCAATAATGTCCCTTAATGGATCGATTTATTGACAGATTTGCTCTTATCTAATTTAGCCCTTTCATTTCCATATCCAGTGCTCCAAGCTCAACTAATTTCCTAGTCACCATTTGGAAACCTTGAGTCATAGAATAGTCACAGGAAATAAAATTTTGGTCCATACAAATAAAAAAGGATTGGATATTCACCAAACATCTCCAGGCTTATCCTGCAGGAGACAAGGAAACAGGGCCGTGATTTTCGGAAGAAAATTACCAAACATAACTAAAAATTATTTTACCATAAAAAGACAATTTGCCCCACAGACAGGTGATGTAAACAGAAAAACTTATCAATGAGAGCCAGGGTTTTACCTAGACATAGTACAAAATCTCTACAGTAGTTTACAAGAGAAAGTGTAGTAGCTGGAAAGGAGAATCTCAAGTTAGATCTGGGAAGTTTAAGGGTTACATCTATGACACATGCACATGTATGAGCCTACCAGTTCCATCACTTGGGCAGTCCATGAGGACAGTAACCTTAATCCTCTGAGAGCCAGATTTGTCAGCTCCTTGCACTGTGCATCACTTCTTGGATTAGCGCTAGAGGTGATCATCTGCAGTAATTGACAAGGTTAGAAGATCTTGAAGATCATATTGCTGAGTATCACCCAGAGCCTCAATTATACAACATTCTCACAGCTGATAACCTGTCATGAGGCATATATAGCCTTAGTTGAAGGTAGCAAGAAGTTAAAGGTATCCCAAAATTTGAAGGCTGGGCTGAAGTCTCAGCTTGCAAATAAAACCCCTCTTGGCATCAACAAATGGTACAAACAATGTGCTGCACAAAAATAAAGCAAAGTGGTGCCTCATGGTATTACTTAAAATGACTGTAAAGCATTTATCAATATGCTCTATAACAAGCCTGGTGACAAGCACTGGGGTTGCTTTTTAGTTAAAAAGAAGAAGTAAACAAAAACAGGACTGTCTCCCAATGACGCAAATTAACTTTGAAAAAACTACTCTTCCTAAATAAGAACAACATTGTCTCATTCAAAAAATAAAACAATGTACCTATCCACACACTAAACCTGGATTTTTCAATCCAGAATCCATTCCCTGGATTATTTGTACGATAGCAAATCACCCAGCAGTCACCTTGAATATAAGGGATGTAAAGAAAAGGGTTGGGAGAGGGAGGTTGGTCATTACATGACATTACAAAACCTGACTCAAAATCCTAATAATACTGTGATCCAAAATCAAACTACGGTAAGAAATTAAACTTGACATAAATACATACTTCATTATTATAGCGAGCAAGTTCACTGATAAACTTCACATGCTCCTCCCTGATGCTGTCCATATTTCCAAGGAGATTGTACTGTCCAACAACTTTTTCATCAGCACCTTCTGCAGCTGAAGTCCATTTCTCTCTCATTGTGTCAAAGTTTGGGCACATTTTCAAGTAGGTCACAAGAGCAACTTGGACATCTCCAAACAGAGGTACCACTGGAAATTGCTATGGCAAGGAAGGAAAAAAATTTAGCAATCATTTGCTAATCACCTTCTTCACCTACTTCACTATGACAAAGAGCTAACATTGAAAAGTCAGCTTTAGAAACTCTCTATGGTGGCCAATTTACATTATCAAATCAGTTAACAAAATTAAATTATCTCAGAATAACCCCCAACAATGCAGCATCACTGATAGTTTCATTAGAACCTACCTCCTTTACTCATGTTTTATATGCAAATAAAATATAAATAGATCATTAAAAATCATAAAAGTATAAATAGGAAGATTGCTTTTTTCTGCAAGATATACTTGAACACTGTATTTTTTAGTAAAGATAAGATCAGTTTTTTGTATTATGGCCTCGTTCTATCCATTCCCAAATAGTTTTGCTGGCAGCTGGAGCTTCAGTGACCACCCTACCATAGTTCCATGAAAATTACCCACACCCAATAAATCAGATTAGACTATGAACAGTTACCATTGGGTTCCAGCTAAGTTATATTATTTATGAGATTCTGTTCACCTTAAAGATCTTGTCGATCTTACTGATGCTGATCCTTTTCTTCTGATCCATCTTTAGCACACTAGTATTGTCCTTAACTTCCTTACCGTCCTTAACATCCATCAGAAAAATCATAAATCCCATAACCTATAAAGTAGAAGGCAAAAAAAAATTCAACAACTCTCCTAGTCATTAACTTGATTGGAACTGTTGATTAACTTGGAATTTTTACCTTAGAATTCTTGTTCTATGATAAAGCACTTTTCAATATTGGGTGTTAAGGAACCCATGATTAAACTGGGGTCACTTTCCTTCCAAAAAAAAAAACATAATCTTCATCGCTTATATTTTCCCATGCTGAGGAACTTTGCTTGTTTTTATCATGACTTTTCATTAAGCTAAGCTCAAATTGAGAATTTCTGTGGTTCTAGATGCTTTTGCCAGTACTCAACCCTTTCACTCCCAAGATCTGTTCTGTAATTCTCCTTACTGTCTACTGCACATTGCTTACAACATCAGTTCTGGGGATTAAGTATAGGATCAGATGATAATCCCCTAATTGATAACTTTTTATATTCTCATCACTTGTTTTCATGATATTGTAATGTTATTGTAATGAGAAAGCATGTCTTGGTCACTGCTTGGTGAGCTAGCTTTGGTTTCATGATTCTTTAGAATCGCTCAAGAAAACAAGACAATTGATAACCCCAGACAATGAACAGTGTACATGTTATCATTAACCCTCTACACCTGAACATCAGCATGCATAGTCTCCATACCATTCTGTATACATTTCCCAAGGTGCTGATAAGGAGAATTTGTTTGACAATCAAGAGCTTCTTTAGATGGTGATCTGTTCATTTATTCTCATAACCTTAATATTTGATTCAGGAGTGATATTGTAGGGAGAAATTAGATGCTTCTCACTGGTTTAAGGGTTAAATTACCTTTAAAAGAATATATTTATCATTTGGTGTTATGTACATATGGCCTTCGTACAGTTTGACACATAGGTTCAACACATCAGCCAAAACATCTTCATATCCTGGAATTTTCACCAGGTCATCTTTAAGCATGTGTGTGATCTTGTGTTGATTAGCCAAAAACAGTGAAAGATTCTGTGATTCTTCAATCATTGATACATCACCAGTTCCTCGACGTAGGAAGGTGTCGGCTCTGGAAAGGTAGAAGGAACATCAAAAACAACATGATGACCATGTTTGTAGCATTTTTTTTTCTGCTTTCTCTTCTTCTTTTTTTTTCCTGTTATTGTTTCATCTGTTTTCTGTACCATTGAAGTTTATAAGGAAAATACAAAATCAAAGATTCTAGACTGACTTTTGGTACCTAAAGATAATACGACTATTACTAAAGATAACAGTAATAATAGTGATAGTTATAACAATGTTACTGATAATACTAATTATAATTGTTATCATAACATCATGTTATGAAAATGATGACAGTCATGGTAGCAACACATTATTTGGAAAGGGTGAAAATTTCTGCTAGTGGCTCAAAATCTTGAGTAGCTGTTCTCCCTATAAAAAATTAAGGAAAAATTATACATTCACACTTGTATTATAATTAGCATTTTGCGATACTGACCTTTTAAAAAATGCATAGTCGTTGTTCAGACATGCCTTCATATTCTTCAAGGCATCCAGGACTGCAAACATGTTGACAAATTTTCCAAGGGTCAACAGATATCTCTCAGATATAAAATCCTTCCTCCTCTCTGGGTGACTCAGGGTCTTCACCTCCTTGCAGAATCTAGCAACAGCATCTTTAGCAAAGTGCATGAAGCCCTTAAGTTTGCGTATCTCAGGTTCTAGAACTTCAACTGTCTTCTCATAAATTTCAATTCTGTTTGGTTGGTCATCACTTTTAACCTAGAGACCAAAGAATATTGCAACATTGTAACAACTCAAAGTAACCTACTATGAAAGACTCAATAGAAACATCTTACGGAAGGAACAGCTCGTGAACAACTCCTCCAAGTGTACAACATCACAGCATACCGTCCACCCTCTTCAAGCATTTCATTCTGTCAAAAGTGAATAAAGTTTATAGGTAAACAAGCCTTCCACATCAAATGATCAATTGACCTCCTTTTCATAGAAAAAAATATATATTTAAAAAAGAATTTTGATAAAATAATTCAGTTAGATGTACACATAGAAAATGCCTTGAAAAATTAAAGGATAGAACACGAAGGGTATTACTAAAATGATTCAAAGATTTTGTGCAAAAAAAAAATCAGTAACTACCACCATCAGTTATTCAAACCATACACTGTATACCCATAAATTGCTCCCTTTACATTTATCGACACAAATTAACCCTTTACATACTAACATCAGTATTAATATTCTCCATACTGTTCTCTGTACATTTAGTAAGGTGCTAAAAAGGAGAATTTGTTTAACAATCAAGAGTTTCTTTAGTTGGTGATCTCATTTCTTTTATTCTCATGACCTTAATGTATAATTCAGTCATGATATTGTAAGGAGAAATTAGATGCTAGTCACTCTTTGGGTTTAAACAGTTAAGGAGCAGTTGATTTTGGTCTTTTCACTATGCATAACTTTAACCGACAGAATTCTCCTCTATTCAAACCATCCAGGTACCTTAAGTAAGCAATCATATTCTAGACCAAAATATCTTAAGGACGTCACAGGGGTTTGAGTTAGTAAAACTCCAATATCATGCTTTCAATTTATCAAACCCAGGCCTTCTATTTTTTATTTGTTACAATCCATGGTCAAAAAGGCCAAAGGACAATCTGCAAAGGAGTTCGAAACCCCATATAAAAACAGATCACCTATGAACTAATATAAATACACTAAGGATAATAAATTCAAGAAATGTATTTATGAAAAGGAAAAATACTTAAGAATCACCAATAAATTTCTTAACTCTTGACTTAAAAATATTTACATTAACAGAGTAAAAACAGATCAATTATGGACTAATATAAATACACTGAAGATAATTAATTTCAAGAAATGCATTTATGAAAAGAAAAAATATTTAAGAATCACTAATAAATTTCTTAACTCTAGACTTAAAAATATTTACATTATCAGAATAATGAATATCGAAAGGTAATTGATTCCACATGTCAATTATTCGATGGAAAAAACTATACTTCAAGACATTAGTTCTGGCATATTTCTTCTTTAAAGTTAAAAAGTCCTTAGACTTAAGTGAAAAGCGGTCTGCTTCAGAGTGGAAATCTAAAATTTTACTGACGTCAATATTTATGTTGCCAGCATTTACTTCATATAAGAATGTCACATCAGTCAGTAATCCTCTCTTCTCCAGAGACATGAGGTTTCAAATGTCATAGGGATCATAAATCTTTAAGATAAATTTAGTTGCTCTTCTCTGGACCCTTTCCAGCTTATCAGTATTTCTTTTAGTATAGGGAGACCACAGAACTGAACAATATGTGGAAATCAATGATCAGAAAAACTATGCAGATTGAATATATCTTAATGACAATCAGTAAACACAAAAAATTTTGCAACCTATTGCCCATGGATTACCAATATCAACTGATTACACTGACACTGACTACAGTCGAACCTCGATTATCCGGACTCAGTGGGACTAGGGTAAATAGTCCGGATAATCGAGAGTCCAGATAATCGAAAATATGAATATTAATGAGACAATGTAAACAAAAGAAATAAAGATAACACATTTTTAATTCTAAAAGTTTGCTTCAACAGATCGCTTTCGCTTCGTAGACATGTTGTTGTTTTGAGTTATGATCGTCTCGTGTGTTTACATAACCCACACTCAGCTTAGCAACAAAACAATTCTGAACAAATCAAAATTCAGCTGAATGCATTAGAATACTTCTTGTCTCTTTTTGTCTTCGAGCACTTGATCTTTCGAAAGCGGAGCATGTAATGCGCTGTTTTAAACGCAATTGTCCTGACTTTTAACATAATTTCCGAATTTTTTTACCTCCTAAAGTTTTTAACATCTAAGGTCATTAACATTCATGAAAAAAACGGGACCAAAGAAAAAGTCCGGATAATCGAAAAGTCCGGTTAATCGATGTCCGGATAATCGAGGTTCGACTGTACCATCGATTGTCATCGATCATTGACTTAATCGATTGTACGTATGTTAGAACCCTGATCAACCGAATAAAAACATACACAGCGTATCACGAATGTAACCGTTCAGTAATCTTATTTCTATTGCCTTTCCATAAGATTGTAAGAAAAAGGGTAATCTAGATCACAAGGATCAGCAACTCTGTTCGGTTCAAAACAATCAAATATTTCAAAGTTATCATCCATGGCTGATGTGAAACTATCGAAGTTGTGCATGTATGCATGAGAAGATAACAGCACGAGTTTGATGATAACTTTATATCGTTTTCTTTCATGAAAGAGAAGACAGAGTGTTTCTGATGGGCATGATCACAAGCAGTTAGGCATTTTTTTTAAAGCTTCCTAAAATTTCGTTCAACTTAGACTCACACTCTCAGCAAATAAAGTGATCGTGATTACCAGTGCTGAAAAATCGACCGAGAGCTCAGAATTTACCAACTATATCCCTCCAGAGAGATTATACTCGGCAAACGTTGATACTGCAAGATTCTGTCGAATCAAGCGCTACTGGAAGCTAAATTATTTATTTCCTTGTGAAGGTCTGCGCAACTAATCATGATAAGTCACACCTACCAAGCCTTTGTGTACATCCGCCTCTTCCAGATACTTGCTGATACATGTGATGAACGCTTTGCTGTCCTCGAAGTTGGTATCAAAGTTGGAAATGTAAGTGACAGAAGCCGGAGGTGCTTCTATTTGTGGCTGTTCGTCGGGAAGGGAAATGGTTTGAAGTTGTTGCACATTACAAATAGCATCGTCCAGGGTCGCCATCTTGCTTAGTATCCCAGCGACCTTTGAGGGCTTCACTGAAAATGTCAGGTCCTACCCTACCCTAGACGTCACACATACAAAGACGATGATATCATTTTCTGCTTTTGAAGAAGTTTTTCTCTTTCTTTTTTTCAGAGTGAGAGGCATTTAACACGTCAGTGAAATGTTTGACTGATTTAAAAGTTTTAATTTATCCTTTAATTTTTTAAGGCAATTTGAAAAATAATTTTTTTCTCACTGAAAGCTCCAAAGATGAAATTACCTCTGAAACACCTTTCTAAACTTTGGAATTAAACGGCTGGGAACGCTCATCTGAAACCACTGGGATCAGAATGACCTCTGTAAAACCATGAACCAGTTCTTAAAAATGCATTCTTGAAATATTTTTATTGTTCCAATGACAAAGAATTATTGAATAACTACCCTTTAGGGATCCCATTTAAAGAAGTCACTCTATACTTTAATTGCATAACTCACAAAAATGAAAGGGTTAGAGAAATGTGCAGATGGGAAATAATTATCAAAGGTGATACAAGGAATGCAAGGGACAAGATGGAAAAGAAAAGGGAATATGGCAGATTCATCCCAATTTTGTTCTTTCAAGTTATTGACAGACCCAGCTGGTTGACACTCTATCCTCTACATGGCAATATCTACCGGTAAGCAAGAGCCACAGCCAAGTCATTGTGTTGTGGTCTCAAGGAAGATATATCACTCTCACAATTGCCTCCCTTCACTCTGGCCTAGATTGTAGAAGTTGGATAATACTATCTACTAGAGAAATCTCTCTCTTGTGGATACCACTGAATGATTCTTTACCAAAGTAAACTTTCAGTTAACTGAAAAAATACTGAGGGGATCAAAGGAGGTGTAATTGGTAAAAGCCTGGCATCCCAAACATCCC